GGAAAAGTCAGGGAATTTGAAAATCCCAACTCTGTAACAACCCTGGTTGAGCTGCATTATCAGCAGGGGGCGCGGCGGGCAGTTACGGATAGAAGGAGGGAAAGGACTCCCGGACCCGGGACAAGGATCGTCATTGCTCGTCTAGGAGTAGAAGCTAGCTGACCAGTTGAACTCAGTTACACGATAAAACAAGGTGTGGTTGCAGTCGTGCGTATGCTGGGGGACGCGTCACGACAGCAGACCACTACACCGACCCAGTCGTCGCGTCTATAAGAACAGAGGCGCGCTCTCACGAAAGTTCTCCCGATTGTAGCCCGATTGTGATTTCTACCTTCTCTTATTTCAGGCGCCGCCTCCGAGACCGGGACCTCCGAGCCGGGCAGGATCACCCAGACGCGGATCAGCCGGACCAGCCGGAAGACGCAGAAGGGTCCAGAGGTGCAGGACGGCGACTCTCTCTGTAAGTGTCACGGCGTCCAGCTGCTGTTGGTGCATGCCGACGTCCGAGCGGGTTGCCTACGTACCGGGTGATTAAGAGAAGACGCAGGGGCGGGCGGGTTTGCCTATCCGCTCTGCCCGTTAGGCGCCATAGTCCCTTCGGTAGGCAAACCCGCCCGCACCTGCATTTTCTGTGAATCACCCGGTACTCGAGGCGCCATGCTTTCTTGAAGGTAGGCCAACCCGCCCCAACGTCAGCATGCTCCGACGTATCGCCCGCTTCGGCCCAGCTGGGCCGATGTGCGAGGTACGTGATGCGTTCCCCCACCGTTATGTGTAACCTGCCAGCCTGACTATATCGCTCACCCTGCACGCACTCCTCCCCGCATCGGCCTGGCTCGGCTCGGTCCCGGTCAGGGAATGCCCCCTACCCACCCAACCCTGTTATCAGTTAACCTGCTCGCGCTCATTCTGCACGCTCTCCTCCACAGCCGCCGCCGAGCCGCCGCTTGATGGTGCTGCTAGGACTCGCGGGGAGCACGCGCAGCACGGAGCGGACCGCGGCCAGCAGGATGCTGCCGGGGAGGCACCCCACCGCTGTGCGACCTGCGGGGCGGCCTTCAGGAGGGCGGCTCTCCTCCGGGCACACATGCGGACCCATGCCGCCGATAAACTGGACAGCGGTGAACACTGCGGCGTCAGTCCAGCAAGCACTCTCATAGGTGACAGACCCTTCAACTGCCAGACTTGCGGGCAACGGTTCACTTACAGTTCCAATCTCCGTGTGCACATGAGAACTCACACAGGTGACAGACCCTTCAACTGCCAGACTTGCGGGCAACG